CTGTTTGTAATAACGTGGTTTGTAGAGGACATGTTCATGATAAAGGTGCAAATGTCTTACATAATTTCAGAAGACAAACTAAGGTTTAAGCATGTTTAGTTTCTATGCCTTTTAGTCTACATGTCTATTGTCATTAAGCAATACGAACATCTTTACATCGAAACTTCTCATCAATTCTGGGGGAACGTATACCGTATGTTGACTGTGATTGACCGATCTTTTAGGCTCTGTTCTCACAACTTTTAGATCGATCTATCACCGCGGGGAGTCTCACTAGATTACTGTCAGATAATCCCCCTTAAGTGTCCGTCCCCGCCTACTACAAGCTTTAAGGGGTAATTAACTTTCGTGTCCGCCCGGCTGACAGCTATTTAGCGTGAACCCCCAGGGAGTTAGGTCGATCCAATGTAGGTCGATCTAATCTATGAGAATGGGGTGTTAGTGTCTCACTGGTTTATAACCAAATGGAAAACGATAATAAATACATCATTTGGACCCTCCCAGGGAAGCTGATTGCTAGTTGACGACCACGAGGTCATTGAGTGCTTGTTTTGACAAGGTGATATACAGGGAGGCCACTGTTTAGTTCTCCAAATCAATTCAGTTATTGTCTATCAATCAGAATAACACTTGGAAACAAAGAAAACAATCCTCAAAATGGGCCAAATACGCGACATGGATTGGCTTGTTTGAAGGTGGTGGGGGTGGGGGTGATTGGAGGGGGGGGGGCTAAAATGGTTACTGTTGTTGTGGTTTTACTAATGATAATATGTAAACAAGAATAGGAGTAGGCCTATGTAGAACGTGATTCTGTTCGTGGGTTTACCTGCGAGCCATAGGGCAGTTGTTGCGATTGCGTAAGAATTAATCCCTCGAGGGGGTATTTTGGTTACCTTATAAAACAATCTCAAAAAGGGCAGCCCCTAATACTATTACAGGTTGGATATATTGCTAAATATATTGTGATATTTTCCACGCGGACGCGCAAGGACACTAGGCTATATTTGGGCCATTATTAAAATAAGAATTTATAGTGGAGCATATTAATTTATTGTGCGCTATGGTAAACTTTTCGCTTCCCATCTTTTGCTGTAAAACGTTCGGGCTTTGTGTTTAGTAACACAGTCTCCAATGTAGCGCGGTATCAAACAAACACGTATCAAAGGAGTTTCATTTCCTTCCCAAAAGCTTATAAATTAATATCCCCTGACTTTATTTTCGAGGGGAAAGGAATGTGAAGTTGTGATGTAAGATGGAAGTGATGTCCACATCTGCAGTGTTGACAAACAAAGACGCCTTCTTTCATGTGGTCCCAGAAACAACAACCTGTGTTTTCTGTAAACACAAGATCGAAATGTTGCGCGCAACTTTGGATATTTATCACATGATACTTGAAACGTGAAGTCATTTTTTAAAATAAAAATTGGAGGCTTCCATGTAAGAAAAGGTCCATTCTCATGAACCCCCTCGCCATGCCAAGGATAGCCCCATCCCCGATCAGTTCACATACCCGCAATCCTCAAGTTCAAAGCCGACCTTGGGTCACGTGGGACAGAGAACAGGCAAACCATGTTTGTTATTCATGACTTAGATAGCTGTACAGAAACAAAGTCTTTTCAGCAAAATTCCGGAAACTATTGTATAATGTGAGAACAGGCAATAAAGTTTTAAGCAACCGATATTTACCTTTACTGGGTGCACTTCTCCGACTTCAAGACAGCAGAAAGAGAGAGAGAGAGAGAGAGAGAGAGAGAGAGAGAGAGAGGGAGAAAAGCGGTGAACAGTTTGGTTCAATACAATATATTGAAGGGATAACAACTCTTTGTTCGAGATCCTTGTTTCACAATAAATAAATTGTGAATAACAAATAGAAATATGACAAATTCTATTTTAAAACCAAAACGGCGGTCATTGCAGTTATTCTGAAATCTGTACTTGCCGTGGGACCACGTGACCTCCATAGATGTTTACCTTCCGTAATAATCTCTTAAGAGTTTAAGAAAATCATTTTTTGGTCAAAATGAACAGTTGCTATCCCTTTAAGTTCTCGCATTCCTTTTATTTTTTCTATTGTTCAGCCGTATTTCCCTCTGCCATCATTTCATCAGGTTCTACTACTTGATGTCTGCGTACATTCTTCAGTTGACATGATCAAAAGAGCACGGTCATAAGGTTACAAGTGATACAAGTGAAGAGCTATTGAAATACAATTCTTTTATACTATATCTGGATTTAAAAAAGAGTACTTCGAAACATAGTATACATTTTTAACTTTTAACGCAACCAACCGCCACGACAGGACTCAAATATAAGGGCGATCAATATGAACAGAAATTACTGCAACGGGGGTTGAAATATGTCTTCCACCTCAAAGCAGGCATTTTTCGCCTGCGTGTTTAGAACGGCATGCGGGTATATCAATGTCAATTTGATAGAGTTCACTTCCAGTTGACGTTCTTACACGATATTTTGTCACTTTTGTTTATGCCTAGAGCTACTTCGCAGTGTTTGTGTTATGGACTTGATATTTTATGTGGTCAATAATAGATGCTCGTTTGCTCAATTGGATATTTTGCGAACTTTGGAAAAGGTTAACGCCTTTCAACAATGCGGTTTCCAAAGAGGTAAATTTGATCTTTGACTTTTCCTTCTCGGGTGTGATAGGGCTAAGGGTCAGATTTATGGTCTATTAGACAAAAATTGACGATGACGTAAGCCTTAACGTCTTAGAACGTCTTCAGATTTTGCACATTTCTGCAACCTGCAATCTGGTACAACAATGTTGGTTCGTCTTGTTTTTGTGTGTAACTCGCCGCTGTAAAGTTAAGGTAAGTTCACTTACTAGTAGTTTGTATTAAAGATGCAGTGGTACATTTCTGTCAATGTTTAAACTAAGGGATCGCTTTTCTAATTTTTTTTCTTGTGCGAAGCATGTGCAACAGAAAGATGATCTCTCTCTCTCTCTCTCTCTCTCTCTCTCAAAGTTCTTAATTTGATGAACATAGTGCAAAACGAGTAAAAGTGACTGGATAGAAAAACTACGTGTCATCACATGAACGACCTGAAGAAAACGCCCATGTTCCCTGCAGGTGCGTCCATCAGATGTATACCATCAATTCTGTTTAATTTACAGCTCAAATCGTGATATGGCACACTGAAACAAATGTCAATGCGTGATTCATTTTCCATCTGAATCAATAATCTGATAACTGGATGGCAGTTTCTTTGTTTTCTATCACTTTTATTTTGTATTTCTGTACTAGCAAGGCGAGAGCTGCAAAAGTGCTCATGTTTCACAAAAATTTAATAAGTTTTAGGACTTATTATGCGGTCATTTGAAATAACTCTAATAGGGAGTTGTAGTTTTTTTTAATTGAATGACAGCTTATCAAATATAAAATCCCTCTTTTATCTTATGTTTGCTGTCATCGGTATTGACTCTCTTTGAAATATTATTTTCCCTTTAAATATAATTCTAGAGATAAGTGTATAGTACTATCAACAAGTAACAAAAGGTAATTCAGTTTGGTCATCTGGTTTACAGTTTCAGATCATATGTTAGTACGACTGGTGATGTCTACAAGACTAAATAGTTTTGCTCAAACATCAGTTTCTTAAATCATTTTGTTTTTTGGTCATAACACTGGTAAACTCCATTGGTCTTGGTCTAGAAGATAAAGAAATAGTGAGAGAACTTGGTAGCAGTAAATTATTTTTAAGTGCAGTAGAGAACTGGTCAAAATTTGAAAAAGAAGTTCGTGAAGAGATTTTGGATTGAATTAGCACAGCCGGACAACATTTTAGTCTACTGTAAAGCATGAAAAATCAGTAGTAATCTTAGATAAATGCACCTATTTTAGAAAGCGAAAGATACAGCTAAGGACTTACCCTAAACTTAAGTGAATCAAGATTTTGTTATTAAAATAAACCATTTTTCGATAGAATACTCTTTTGTAAAAAAAGAATAGAGACAGATATCAGAGAATATTTGGTAGAAAACAGCTTCTGTGTGCTCTCAAACCAAGCATCTAATCTATGTAATCTACACCATTCTTCCATAGAGGTACGCGTTAATCAGGCATGCGCCTAGTTTACATCAAAGAAGTCCAAGTTGTGGCTGCAGGTGCGTAGCCAGTGTCCACTAAGCCGTCCACTGTGCTGACTAGGGTCGATGCCTAGTGACCAGCGGGTCAATGTCTGTGGTGTTGTGGAATGCTCGCTGCATCTGGAACCCAGATCTAGACTGAGTGAAATGGTGCAGATTTGATGCGATCCAGGCGCGGCGTCGTATGAGTTAATAAGTAAAGGAAAGGCTTGAAAAAACTCCAATACATATGCACTTTGATACGCAATAAAGAGTTCACATTGTGTAACTTTTCGATTTGTCCAACTTGTAAGTAAATGATTGGGTGAGACATTAACAAAATGGTATATTATGATATATTATTATTATCATAAGATAGATGTTTTTCGCTACCAGCAAAACTTTGTAAAACAGGATAAGCCTAGATCAGTCCAGATTTAGTGCCAAATTAGTCCGAAACTGGTGCTTACAACAGACACGCTCTCGGCGGTTAGGGTTTATTAAACCAGTGTAAACGTCGCTCGATAAACCTATAGTATTGTTGTCGCTTCTGTCCTTCAGATTAATACCTAACATTGTGTAAGTATAATACAGAAGCGTGATCCCCAACCTCATAGCCACAACACACTCGAGGAGGTATTATTTTAAACTTTGTACACAGTTTACCCCAGACAAAGGTTTGAGGGGCCGAATTGATGTTTTATAGAGCGGTAAGTGTGTTGCTTTTTGAGCCTACTGATAACAGGTAATGATATGTGTGTAGTGTGAAGTAACCGGGCTCCGAGGACAATGCAAGAGGGTGAATATTAGGTGCAAACTCGTTATCTGACGGAGAAAAATATTATTAGTATGAAGAGCGTGTTACGTTTATATACCAGCTGGTGTTTCTAGACAGGCTGAATGAGGTGGACAAGATTTATTTGGTGATTTGACAGTTTTTAAAAACTGTTTTGAACGTTTTTATGAAACGGATTTTTATGATTGAAAAAGTTCCATGCACGAAGTACTGATAAAACAGAATTTGATGCTTCTTCGATGGGCGCAAAAGCGTGTTAAAAAGGAAGTTTGTAGGAAGAAGATGACCCATTCGAAGTGTATACGTGCTGAACAAGGTAGGTCTAAGTTGGTTAAGCATGAAAAGCAATTCCGGGCAATCTCAAGTTATTTGTTTGATCTAGGAGGTCTTTAGGAGCAGGGCATATTCCCCACTTGTCTTTTTAGTGTCATTTCTAAGTATTCGGGCAAAATAGTCAACCAGCGAGACGTACTTTACACCTGCACCTTTATACAATAATAATAATAATAATAATAATAATAATGGTGATTTAATGTATAGTTACACCCATCTATAGGAAGTATTTCACCACTCGCTACATTGCATTAATATTGCTTATGATAGATAAATACTGTACAAGAGAAATTTTGAAGGTCCATGTTCTTTAATCTATTCTCAGAATACAACAATTGTATACACATTAGCAGTGATTTGGGGGGGGGGGGGGGTTCTGAACCCCCTCGATTTCTGAAAAAAATAACACCAATGGTCCCGGACCCCCCCTTAAAATATAGCATAGTTATTATCTCGAACAATGCAGAAACTACTCAAAACTAAACATGCAGGCCACAGCATACAGTAATTATCACATGCACTCACATACACAGTTAAACACACACATATATTCGCAAAGGACAAAAAAAGCTTTCAAATAAATAGGTGGGTTCTCAGAGAGTCAAATACATGGCAGCTATATGATATAAGTACAATTATACTACTACTAGCCTGCACATAAGCACTAAAAGTTCTGTTTATTCTATTTTATATTTTATAAAAGTTGCTATTACAATAAAAGAAAACGCTGTATATACTAAGAAGAATTATTTTAATAGTTCTGTTAAAATAGCATTATAACAAATGAGTTTGGATTTTCTAAAATCACGCCAGATTCTGTTAAATTTAATATTTGTCCAGTCTTTAAATGGACCCAGTCTTGGATTTGAACTAACAGAGTGGTAATATTTCACATTTAACAAAGAAGTGTATTATGATCTTTCTGCCACATATAACTAAAACAAGCCAAAGTGATCGGTTCAGAAGGTGAGCTCGTGTTTCTCCACCTGACTACCTCCTCTCTAACCAAGCTGTGCTAATAACTTGACACCTGCCAGATCTAATGACATTTATTATCTGCAATGATTTGTAATTTGCAACTATTTATGTATCATGTAAGGAAAACGATTTTGACGTTAGTAGATTTTTTTTACATAATTCTTTAATTGGCAATACAGGTGCTGGTGTACCGTAACATTGCCGAAGATTAAAATGGCATTGGTCTAGTGCTCAAAGTTTAAAATGGTATGATATGACATA